TGTAAAAATATAGTATCATTACCATTTTCGAATTATAACTCAATATTTTCATTAAGTAAAAGTAAGTAGAGATAAAATCCGATTTAAATATGTCAGATTTAAAATGTAATTTCATTGCCTCTACTTACATTTACTTGATAAGTATATGTTTATAATTTTAATTATATTACAAAAATTTAGACATCAATAATATAATTAGGATGCACAACAAGTAAAGGATCATCTTCTTCTTCGTCGTCTTTGTCTCTTAGATCTGTCGTAGTTAAAGGTATTATAATTTGATCCTAAAATACAATTAAGCAAAAATGAGAAAAAAAATTGAGAATTGAAGTTCAAAAAAAATAAAATTCGAACAATTTTAAATTAACAATTACTACATACATGATATGTTAGTCTATCAATAATTTTTTCAATAAAATTTTTCCTTTCCAATAATTCTTCCTCCGAATCTATTTGATCTTGTATTTGGTCTAGATACCATGCCACTAATTCTGATTTCTTTAATCCACCTTTAGCATCCTCTATATAAAAGAAAATATAAATACTGAAATAAATATATATCTAAATAATATCTATAAACATACCTGAAGGTTCAGTTTCAGCACGAATTTCTTCATTTCTCATATATAACACTAACATGTTAGATAAATTTTTATATTCTTCAAAGGACATTGTTAATTTCTTTTTGGCTATCTCTTGCGATTCTATAAATACGATGCGAAGAATAAGAAATAAATAAAAATCAGTAATTTTAAATATTTTTATGTAAAATATAAAAAAAAAATAATTTACGTGGAGGAGTTTCCATTTCGTTATTATCTATCGCATTAAGAGCAGCCATAAGAGGTGGAGCTTCATTCATATCGACGTCCATATGTTCATTTTCATCTTCTTCCAAGTCTATATCTGGCTGTTCTACGGTAACAATACTTTTACTTAATAAACGTTTTGCTTCTTTAACATGTTTTACAGTAACTTCATCAGAACATTCTAACTTAGCCATTGCTTCTGATAATCTGATAAGACTTTCTAATTGTCTAACGGTAACTCTCCACTTGCCGGCATTAGTACCGGTCCTTTGTCTGAGCAATGTATAACTATCAATTAAAAATTCTGATGCTTCCTATGAAATTTAAAGAAAATCAATTCAAATACTTTAACAAATAATTAAAATTTAAAAAAATATAATAATATCTACCTGACTTAATACAGGTTTAAAATGTTTAGCAAAATTAATATATCTAATAATCTCTGATTGTGTATATACTGTTTCAATGTCTTGAAAATTATCACAATGTAGATCAATAATTCTTTTAGCGATTGCATTATCGATAATTTCGTTGCACTCATCAACTATAATAAAGAATAAATCAAATCTAGACATAATAGGAGCTGTTAATTGAACATTTTGCTGTAAAGACTTTTTTCTATCATATCGTCCTCCAACGGGATTTGCCGCCGCCAATATTGACGTTCGAGCATTCAAAGTCGCTCTTACACCAGCCTAAAAATTTATTTATTTATTAATAATATAGCAACATTTAAAAATTTATAATATTTATTTGTGTTAACAAACTTTGGCTAATGAAATTGTTTGCTGCTCCATAGCTTCGTGTATAGCAACTTGATCTCTGATATCCATTTTATCAAATTCATCGATACAACAAATACCTTGATCAGCAAGCATCAAAGCACCAGCTTCAATAACAAAATCAGGCGATTCTTCATCTCTTACTACAGCAGCAGTTAATCCAGCTGCAGAAGATGCTTTTCCTGAAGTATAAATCGATCTTGGCACAATTTCAGCAACACTTTTCAATAATTGAGATTTTGCAGTACTAGGATCACCAACAAGGCAACAATTTATATCCCCTCGTAGCGAGGTGCCTTCTATTGTTGTTTTTGGCACACCACCAAACAACATTAAAATAATTCCTTTTTTAACTTCATCATTACCATGCACTGACGAAAATAAACTATTAACAAGATTTTGATATAGATTTTTATCACGGCTCATTTCATATATACGGTTCCATTCTGCTTCTGACATTCGTTTTTTCATCATTTCTTGAGAAAGTTCTTCCATATTTGTTTCAGTACCACCAAACTACAAAAACATTAATTATTTAAAAAGATATGTAAATGTAAATATCGTAAGAAAACTATTTCATGATTAATTTATCGTACTCTAAAACTTGTTGGAGTAACGCTACAAGCCAGAAATGCTGTTTTATATGTTAATTCACGTGTTCCCAAAGATTTCAACCCTGTTATACCATCTCCATCTTCTGCAGTTTTCCGACGTTTTGCTTTAAGATCAGCTTTTACACCAGGAAGTGAAAGAACAGATATATCTGGTATTACTATCATAGTTCCTGTAAAATCATACCTAAAAAATACATATAATATTCAACAATAAAGAAATAAATAGAGTTATAAAATCATTTTTAATGAAAATACCTATCACCAGCTTGAACAGTTTCAACAGCTTCAGCTCGTAAAATTATTTCAAGTGAACGAGGAATACAACCTCTAGGAAGTTCTGCTTGTGTTTCTTGTACTCTGACTTTTTGAAAATCAATAAATATAGAATTATCAACATCCAATAAAAAACGCCTTCTATTACTACATACTGGATTATGACAAATTGTTGGATTTGTGAACTGCAAATAATTGTATGAATTTGTAACAAATCTTCTATAGTTATATATATTTGTATTAATAAAGTTAATTATATTAAACTATACCTTAAATTGTTGTTCTACATTTTTTATAACAGCATTACAATCCATACAAACAAACGTTCCTAATACTAATTCTGGATGCACAGGATGTGTCCTTATTACTTGACCAGATATACGTATTAATGTGCCAAACTTTGATGCATTTAATTCTCTTAATTTTTGTCTTGTTGGAACTTCCACAAAACTTACATAACATTCTTTTTCTTTACTTAATTCTGCAACATCTTTGACAAAATTACACACTGCTTGGCACAAGTATGGATAAACTCTAAAAGATCACAATTTATTAAATAAGAACAAATAATAAAATTAATTAGAAGATGAATATTGAATTATATTAAGAAATATTTTGAAATTTTACCTGTAATATTCTTCAACTATAGTTGTAGAAAGTACTTGATTATATTCATCTACATCATCAAAAGTCACTTCTAATGTACTATGTTCTGGACTTACAAGTTCTTTGGCTGGTTCAAGATATTTTACAACTCCATCTTCTTTAAATCTAATTAATTAAAAAATAATAAATATAATTGATTTATAAAGTATCTGAAAAATTTTAAATAATTGTTATTTCTCAAAATAAAATTTGTAAAAAAATTTACTCTTCCAAAAAGTCTTGAAATAATTTTTGACATTTGATTCCAACTTCATCAGTTACACGTGTTCTTGTAATTTGCGAATCTCCAACATCCATTTTTTAAAATACTTATCTATCACTTTTATTTACAAAATTATAATTAAACAACGATATTCAACAATGGAATAATACCATTGAATGAGAAGAAATTGGCGGGAATTACATTTAGGCGAGTTTTCAAAGAATTTTCAAAACATATGTTCTTTTTATAACTTTTGTAAAAATAAATCATTTCTTTGTAATATATAATATTTAAATAATATACCAATATGTAAAGAATATTACATTACTTTTTTATTAATAACAAGGTGTTAGAAAAAGTTTAGAAAAATATCTAGTAAATATAGATAAAGAGAGTAAATAATGAAAGAAGGACAAAAATAGAGTAAAAATTGTGAAATCAACGCCATCTTCAGAATGCTGTAAATGAAACACATATAAAAAGAACAGCAAATAATAGGAAAAAATAGATAAGATAAGAATTGATATGTGGCGTCATCTCTAGACTACTTAAAATATTTCTTTTAAAAATATTTCAAAAGATAACACTAGTTCTTACTCTATCTTATTCTGTCTTTAAAGAGATATTTTTAACATTCAATAGATAGCAGCAGTAGTTAATTCCTACTATATCTCTATCTTTCTCTTATTGTTTTCTGTCCTTTCCATATATGTTTCATTTACGGCACTCTGAAGATGGCGTTGATTCCATAATTTTTAATCTATCTCTATCCTTTTTCGACTATCTGTTCTTGTCTTATTTGTTATCCAAACATCATATCAAAAGACAACATTGACATCTAATTAGCTTTATTCTTTTTTTCTAACACTAATTAAAAATCTTAACAGAAACTTAATTTATTGAAAAATTATAAAATATTTTATCATTTTTATTTGTGATTAATTAATTATTTCTAATTTTATTTACGATTTCACGACATTTAAATTTAAATTTAATTTCAAAATCACGATTATATAAACATGAAATAAAAGAATATATTATAATTGCATGGAATGATATATGACATGTCCTATTTATATCTCTTTTATGATATATAATTTTTTGCCTTTATTTCTCATTTCTATGTAATTTTACATGATCATGATGGTAAGTAATTAAAAATAAGATTCTTTCATATTTCTAATTCTAATATTTTAACGAATAATTAATTTATAGTTACAGTATATTATTTATTAACTTAATAAGTATTTCAAATATTTCATTAATAGCAAATATTATAAAACAAAAATTTTATGTATCGCAAATAAAATATACATATAAAAAATTCATAAAATTTCTCAAGGAATAGATAGAGATTATTGAAACACCTTTATAACGTTTTACGACATATTACAAAGTATGTTTCAAAAAAATTTCGTAAATAAAGAATCGTAATGAAGGTTAATTAGAGATTTCATCACATGAAAAAAAAGAAAAGGAAAGAGAAAGTCAAGAAATCTCTTTTCTTATGTAAATAGATACGTACTTACTTACACGATGTATACACTTCCTGCGACGTACAAGACTTCGCTCTTAGAGGGCAGATAGTGTTATAGGATATAAAAAGAACTCCAAGTGCATATTGTCGCTTTAGTTCCCTCGAAAATCTTCCACAATGTTAGTCAGTGTCGTGGATATTTTTGTTTTTTATTTGGTAAAATTAATCTTTCTTCTTTTTTAAACCTTTTCAACTTCTAAGTAAACGTACACTGTTTAACTTTATTCTTATACTTCTTATACTTCAGATTATTAGATATCTCCTATAATTAGTATACCATTTATGTGAAATAGTATTTTTTTCAAAATATAATTATCTCAGAATTTTTCTAGATTTTTTAAAAAAGATCTAAAAAGATAAAATTAGATTTGGATAAAATCTAATTCATTTATAGTGAAAAATATGCCAAAAATTGAAGATTTTTTAGCAAGAGGAGTTTATTTTCGAACAACTTTTCAATTATGTAAAGAAAGTTATGCATTTTTATAAAAAATTTTATGGTTAATAATTAATTAATAATAATTATTTTAATACAAATCTAATGAAAATTCAACAACAAATAACAATAAACTTTGGCTTCCACTATTTCGTATCCAAAATTTGTGCATCCAACTTTTATCAAATAAAAATTTTTCCTCCTTCCTTTCACATCACAAAAGAAATACTCTTCCAAAAAAAAAAGATCTTCTTTATTCTCAAAATAAAAACTTATTTATTAAACGATAAAATTTACTAAAAAATAAAAAATGAAAAGTGGCATAAGCATAATAAGTTCACACTGAGCACAGAGAAAAAATTATCCAATTTAGGTGACGGTTGCACATTTGACCAACGGTGTATTGACAACAGAAGCGCCTAGGAATATCCAACTAGTAACGAATTTACAACCACCAGCCCTTAGTTATCTTCCAACTACCGCCACGGTGTTTCCAAAACTTTCTCGACACAGTGTTTTCACCGGCCAAGCTTTGGACAATGGGCTAGAAGATGGAGACCCAGGTAGAGGCTTAAAGGCCGAAAGGCAAATACAAGCCGGGTATTCATACCTGAAACCGTTATTGATCGATCTTCAATTACCATTGAAAGATCAGACGATTAAATCAATCGGCGATAAGCAAAGGTAAGAATTCACTTACTGCTCTTGTCGATCATTTTTATTTTTTTTTTTTTTTTAATTCGATCTATTTGTATTAAAATTATTATATATCGTATTCAATCCTGATTTCAATCCATTAGCTCGATTGTTCATTTTTCGATTAATTGGATGTAATGAAGGAAGCGGTGCGCTCTTTAGTTATAAATGAGACGGATTTAATTGTGTGCGGTGTGAAGAAGATCGATGTTGTTAAATGATTTATGTAGTAATCCTTTTCTTTTTTTTTTATTTAACAATTTATCAAATGCGGATCTTTATTACGTTATAAAGAAAAATGAATTGGAAGAAATAAATTAATCGTTTTTTACGAATATCAAATAAATCCTATTTACAGTATTTAACTTTATCCATTTTAAACATTATCAGATGTAGGAAATATTCGTACATCGATTCAATTACAAGTTATTTTTAAATTTTTCGATAAATTTTATCGCAATTATTTCTTAAATTCTGTAGTCTTATCATTTTTACAAAAACGTAATTTTAAATAAAATTTTGTCTTTTCTAGATTTGAATCGTACGAATATTTATTATTCATCCAAATTTATGTACTAACAATATTCATTATTCAACATTTTGTTTTCTCAATAATTTCTTCGTTATCTTACACTCCCTCTGTCCGAAAATATGGTATATATTTTAATATTTTTTTTGCCCAAAAATATGGTATACATTTATGCGAAAAAGATCAAATAAAACTAAAATTAAATATAAAACAAATATTAAATTCATTTTATTATCGCGATACAACTAAATATAAGTAATTTTAATGTAATCCAAATTTAGTTGAAATGAGATTTAGCCTTGTTGAACGCTTCACGTCATGAAGTTTTACCTTATTTACCTTATTTTTTTACCTTATTTATATAGGAATTTTATAGGAATTTTCTCCTCTTGTTGACATAATTAATTTCATATACATTTGTAATATTATAAAAACGTTGTCAAGAGTATTTCTCTCTAATTTATTAAATGCATCTCGAACGCATTCGATCAATTTATCAATTGTGTTCGGCTTCCTGTAGTGATTGAATAGAATTAAAAAACCCCAAATCGAAAATGTTTCGTGGTTGTGATTTAAATTGAATATTCCATCGATAGAACCTGTAACAATAATATATCTTTATCGTTATCAGAACAACTTTGTAACTTTATTAATAACACCGTGTTCTAATTTTTCTTTGTTCGTATGTATACTATATAATAACTGTTGCAAGATACCATGACGTTGTTCATTAATCAATTGCTTCGATTTGACATCTCCTCTTTGTAAATTCGTTTATTTGGATTAAAATTTTCTATTTTGAAATTACAGCGATGTATTTTATTTTTCTTAAAAAAAGAACTAATTTTTGGTCTTTAAATTCCAATTTAATTTCAAAAGCAATGCCTGTGAAATATGTTAGATTATTTAGCTATCGATGTAAACTAATAACAAGTATTGCCAATTGCTTTCGAAACTCTAGATAATCCAAGATTTTCTTTCAAATGTATATTATATATTTTCGAACAGAAGAAACACAACATTTACTCATCGTCATTACGAATATTCTTCCATCAGAAATATCTTTTCTCATAGCACACACCAATATAATTGCCAAAATTACGAATCACGAAGTATAAAATTAATTAATTAAATCATAACAGATGGCCGCGATAAACGCCCGTTCCAATATTTGCATTTTCAGGTGGAGCGAAGGCCAAACTTCTGGAGCAACGGCGTTGAGGTTAGGTGAATCATGGCGGCCGGGAAACGAGACAAAGCTGAGGCACGAGGTCGGGTATCGCGCTCACGTACCACACCGATCAGCGTACAATGTCGTGGAAGAGGTCGATGAATACGTGGCGGACGATTCGGATGAATTGGGGCGTCGTGGGAAGGCGACGAGTCCCCATCGTAATTCGCAGGACATAACGGCGGCCATCAAAGCCCTCGATCGCTTCCTGACCGGGGTTCTGAACGATGATAGTTACAACAGTGTGCTACATCCACCGCCCAATCCTGTTCTGGCCCTCGTCCTGTCTCGATACGGCCGGTACGTGCCCGGATCACGAAACTCTCGCGTGTACGCTCACATGGCCGTAAACAATATACACAACAACAAGCCTTTCGGTAGTTATAAGCTCGAGTGCGACGAATTGCCCGTCTATGTTACGAGATAACGACTAAAATACTGAATAGTCACTGAGTTGATCGTTGTTTCGTAGAATGATTATAATTGGGCGGAGAAAAATAAATTTCATTATTTGTGCGTTAAAACAGTGTGGTAATGGATCGATGGCACTTAAATATTGATATTGTTTATTTATTGTATATTTTATATGGATTTTTGATAATAGAGAGTGTCTATGAGAAGAAAGAAATAATGCTGACCAGTGTATCGTATTTAAGTGTTTATTTAATACAGATAAGGCAAAATGCTTTACATTATTTTTAACGAATCAACAACTCCACACGATTTTCGTTCGGTGAATTTTTTGGCTAACTTAAAATGATTTTACATACAAATTAATGTATAAAACTTTTATATTTTCATATCTTATGTATTTTTACACAAAGAGAGAAAATTTATGGAATATTAAAGTCTATATTGTTGTTTTATATGATGTTTTAATAATAACATAATTACCAGAGGTGCATCCTAGGTTTGTCAAGGCAAGTATATAGCGATAAAATGTCATTTAATGTTTTTCATCTTTCTTATTTTATTGAGAGCAAACCTTACAATCCCAATAACGTGCTCTCATCATTCATCGTCTATTATTCTTATTTTTCATTCATTCTATATTCTTCTTATTATATTTCTATTTTCATCGCTATTTTCCTTTCCTCTCTATCAATTTCTTAACGAATAGAAATAATTTCGTTATTCAATAACGAAAAATCAAACTCATCTTCGCTCAAATATTAGAATCTAATTTGAGATCTAAAAAATCCATTCAATAGTATATTATTCCACACTTTATAAGATTATACATAAAGAGGTTAGAAATTCGAAACGATATTTTGTTTTTTATCGCGTCAAACTGAATGGTGTCTTAAAAGTCACTATTAGAGTGCAAAAAGTTAAGTTAACCGATATTTTTTATTATATACTTTTTTTTCCAAACGATACTTCTCTTTTTGTTCGAAAATATCAATTTACAAAGCGCATAATCCCGCAACGAATATAATTCAATTCCTGAAATGACATCTGGCCAAAACCACCACCAGAGAGCACCAGTGCGCCTAATTAACACTTCGCGCGTCATTGACATCCTGTTTAATCGAGAATGCCATCGGTTACCTAAATTCGATGTAACGATTCATAGGTGCAATTTCACTTAGATTAATTCGCTTTTCGTTGATCGAAACCGCATCGATCCCCCGCTCCACGGGATGGATGGGCAAGCTTCATCCTCCAACGTCCATCGACGTTTTCACTGATTAATTATCCAAACGACACTTCACTACCGCCAACGAGTATTAAAGAAGTTGGCTGGCTCCTTCGTTGCCCATTCGAAATTTAATCAATATCACACGGATTTACCCTTGAATCTAACGGCAATCGGGGTTGGCGCGCGAAGTTAATTGGAGTAGTTCGAGATGCCGCTCGAGAAACCTCGATTAAGCACTAAACTACTCTCATTACACCTTCCTGTCTCCCAGGAAACCTCTCCAGATACTACTAACTTGATTTCATTGATGAAAGCCGGCCGAGACCGCTCTGTTCCTCTACTCTGATACGTCCATCAGAGTGGCTCCATGTGCCAATAAACCTTTTTGATGTTGCGCGGTCTCCGACGAATTGATTGCTCGATCGATCGATCAAAAATTCTATGATTATTACCATTGGATTGCGCGTAATACAGTTTTAAATGGATGGTTGCAGTTGGAGGAGATTTCGTTCGCGAATGTTTATGCAGATGATAAAGTTTTATGGATGGAGATTATAAATTTTAATAATAAATTATAAATTTATTAGAGTTTGTACTTTTTATTTTATTTTAAATTTTTTTAACAGATATATATGAACACTTTTGCGTGTAAATGTTTGTTATAAAATTTTAAAGACGAAATTATGATGAATAATTATATTATTATAGCGAAGAATTGAATAGATAATGCAACTGATATTTACAGAATTTTGTGAATTGTAACATCTTTGAAATTTTGAATTGTAAAAATTAATATTAAGCATTTTTTTGATACAGAAGTTAAATTATCTCAATCACAAGAATAAATCGCAAATAACGATTAATCGATTGAAATGTATAAGTAAATATTATTATTTTTCTATGCTAAATTGTGATTTTAAAATATCGATGAATAATTAGATGTTCAACTTTGATCATTTTCGCTTATACTTTAATTAAAATATCTTATCTAAAATCTTGAAATATAACAAAGCGTTGATATTGATATTCGTAGGATACTTTTGGTCGATTCTAAATATCAAAATGAATACAAAAATTTCGATTGAAACGTATTTATATTAATTTATAATCAATTTAACTTTTATACTTCAATTGTTTATAAAAAATAAACTTCAACGTATTTTGTATTATATTATCTTTTGAATTTATTTCTTTTGATACTTAGAAACGAATACATTAATTACTTTCTACAAAGAAAAAGAAAATCAAAGACTTGCAATATTTTTTTAATCACCATTGAAATATATTATTAAAAAAAGATACGTGAAGCATTTATATATTATAAAAGCTGATAAAAAAAGGCTTTATAATGTGCAATGTAATATCCTTTTAATTAATTTAACGTAATTTATCAATAATCAATTTCATAAAATTTTATAAATATTTAATATTTATATGAGAATAAAACTAGAGAGTCTAATTTAAAAATTTGGTTCATTGAAAATATCTTGCAAAATGTATGCAATTATTTTTCCCAAATATCCTCTTAACATTGATTTAATGTAATAACATTTTAACGTATAATATTTCCAAATAATTATATAAAAATTATACATGCAAATACTTCAGATACCTTTTAATAAATTTAACGAATCATTAAATCCGTTAAAAGAAAAAAAAAAAAATATTTTTGTATCTTAATTGCATTTCGATATTTTACGCTTAAATAAAAGCGTCGATGAGTTTGGAAATAGGACCTTGTTTATAAATAAATACGTCATAAACGTAGCAGTCGCGAATGTTTTCGAGAGATCGTTTAATTTTCCTGTCTCCGGTATACTTGTTGCGGGGATCATAAAACGAACGACGAGGGCTTAAGTGGTGCTTGATTGCCGTCCGTCCTCTAGGAAACCAGATTGTCTGAAAATTGTATTTTCAGGACGACAGTCTCCATTAGCTTCTTCGAGCTTTACCAAAGGAGATCGGTTGCCAGTAATAGCTTTACTAATAGAGCGTCCAAGTACTTGGGCAACCTTATAATTAGTCGACATGTTCCTATAATCGATGCACGATGCTTTCTTTCTTTCTTTCTCTCTTTTTTTTTTCTATTCCTTTTGAATTCACTGCTGGAGCAATGAAACTGTGCTCTTTATATATTTATTTATTTTTAAATGAAATGAAATAATATGGATAAATCTTTTTTTTATGAAAAATTCAATTAATGATAAATATGATAATAAGTTACGCAAGATTAAGATTTAAAATGAATTTAACATTCATTCGGTTCAAAAGATCAAATTTTCCATTCAAGTATCGAAAGATTTAGTTTCGACGCAATTCGATAATCGTTTGTTCCATCGTATCGCACTCGCGAGACACTCGATCCCATCGCTAGCAAATATCGAGACACGCGTACTCGTGCCATCTCTAATTAATTCTACATTAATCCTACGACAGCGAGAATGTCAAGTGTATTGTCATCCCTTCCTATTTTTTTTTCTTTCTTTCTTTCTTTCTTTCTTTCTTTTTTTCTTTCTTTTTTTTTCGTTTCATCTTTTCATTTTCTCACACATCCCCAATCCTTTTTATTTTCTCTTTCTCCCTCCCCTTCTCTCCTCCATTTCCCCTTCAGAATTTCAAAGAGAAGTGAGCGGGTATAGAGAATATACACAGGCCAAGTTTCTCCCGTGTATATATATTCGCATATTGCGTATTGTACAACATTGCCGGTGATTTGAAAAGAAATATTGCGCCGACTGTGGAGGGGAAAATGTAGATTTACAGAAGGAGACGGTGGAAATATTCGAAATTCACTGTTACGTGAGGATAACAAGGGGGGAAAAGGGGTAATCTTTCACGTACTGGCGAAATACGATGGCGTCGTTCAACAACGCTTTCTTCTCCCGCATTTCTCTCTTTATTTTTTCTTCCTTTTTTTTCTTTCTTTCTTTCAAGAAAAATAACTAGACCGGAATGTAGGACAAACGAAAACGGCTTGTTCGTCATTATTTCAAGCCGTGATGCGCGAATTTCTTTGCATTTCCTTCCGTTCTGGTAATCTTTCGAATTTCTCTCTCTCTCCCTCTCTCTCTCTCTCTCTCTCTTTCTCTCTCTTTCCTAGGGACTCTTCAAAGGTTGGCAAGCGTGGCAGAAACTGCGGGGTGCACAGTCTGACATGAGCCCGCAGCTCTCAGTCGAACCGCAATAAAAAGGAGCGAGGTTGTAGGAATAAAATATGAGAAATACGCTCTTGGATCTTTTCTCCGTGACGGAGTAAGGAAGGAAACGAAATGAAGGCGCAAGGTGCTGGAGGAAAAAGAGAAGACCGTATTAACGCGATGTTTTGTGAAGGGAACAAGGGAGATGGCGGACAGGTTATGTTATTAAACTCTATTCTCGTTCGTTCCACTCTATATCGACCAATTTTTTTTTTCCAAGAATTTTTATTTTTAACTTTTCGAAGTTTGGAGATAATTTGGGGACGTGAGAGTAGCCAAGGAAAATATATTTACGGGATTTTTTGTTTTCGTTTTCCTTCTTCAATTTAGGGATTTTATTTTTTAAAATTATATTATTATATTATTATATAAAAACGTGATATTTGAAATAGAGATTTTATTTATATTGGAGATTATAACCTAACAAAATTTTCAAAATAGTGATTGCCAAATAATAAAATGAAATATTATATAAATGCTTCTAGTATTTTGTTTTTTATTATTAAAAGATCTATAATGGATAGAGTTCTTCAACTCTGATTTTAAAAAATATTATTTTATTTTTTTCCCTTCCAATTTTATTTTTAT